TTTCCTCACATTTTGGTTCACGCCCTAGTGGGTTGTCTTTGGGTCTCATGTCGGAATTATGTTCACATATCTCATATGCTATGACTCTGAGTTACTTGTGTTTCTTAGACTTACATACTCTGTACATTATCCATATTGACGCCCCTTCTTTTTGGACGCTGTGTTCATGCCCACAAGTATAGATAGACCTAGGACACCCCTCCCAAGTAGGTGCATAGTTCAGCTATTGGTTGTCACTCTGATATCCTTCGGGATAGCTGTTAGGAAGTCGATAGGTACAAAGGTAGATGTTGTAAATATATTGGGTAAGTTGGGGCCCTGTTCCAACCTAGTTATGTACGTGTATGTTCCTTTGGTACTCCTAGAGGCTTGCAGGCTAGAATCTAATTGTATAAAAAGTGGCAGTTACAATTTGTTAAAAACAATTATAATATGTATAAAATATTGTCACGATCCGAAATTTCTCACCGACGAGACCGTGATGGCGCCTAATATTTCACTTGCTAGGCTAGCCAACGTTAGAGAATCATTAAACCAATTCCTTATTTCCATTCAGTAATTAATAATAATTAACTAAGATAAAATATAATAAGTGCAGAATATTATAAAATTATATTAATTACTACCATTCGGATCTGGAGTCATAATTCACGGGTATTCTAGAATTTACTACAAGTAATAGTCTGAAAGAAATACATCTGTCTGAATGAAAGAAATAGTAGAACAGAAAAGATAGACGGGGACTTCAAGGTCTGTGAACGCCGACAGATCTACCTTGAGTCTCTGGATAGTGGACTAGTAGCAAAAATCTCGATCAACCCGAGCCGGTATTAAAATCTGCACAGAAAGTACAGAGTACAGTATCAGTACAACCGACCCTATGTACTGGTAAGTGTCAAGCCTAACCTCGACAAAGTAGTGACGAGGCTAAGGCAAGGCACCTACAAATCAACCTGTACAATTTAACAGTGTATATACAAATCACAGAAATGAAGAACTAAATAAGAAATGTCGGGAGGGGAACATACTGAGGGAAATGCAAGATAAAGAACTACAACAGAATGATTATCGGAGCAGTCAATATACCAGGAATCAAAAGGAATAGTGAATACAGTAAGAAAAAATGCATGGAATCACCTTTCGTGCTTTTACTCTCAATCTCACCATAAAATTAATAGAAACAACACGACATCCCCCTTCATGCATTAACTCTCATATCATGGCACGTCATCACCCTTCGTGCATTAACACTCACAATATGGCACAGCATCACCCTTCGTGCATTAATACTCATAATATGGCACGACATCACCCTTCATGCATTAACACTCACAATATGGCACGACATCACCCTTTGTGCATTAACACTCACAATATGGCAAGGCATCACCCTTCGTGCATTAACACTCTCCCTTACCATAATGCAATGCATAAATAACAATACGGAGATAGAATAACAAGTACAAACCTTACTTCAATATTTGGTCCCATAACATCAATCTCAACTTTGAAATAAAAACTCAATTATCACCAGAAAATCCGTAAACATGATAAGAACGATAAATTGAACAACACTAGTATAACACATAACAATTAGGCATAGAAATGAGACAATATAAGAAAAATTGAGAAACATGGAAAAACAGGTAAATTGGCGGCGCATAAGTACTCGTCACCTCACATATATGCCGCTCACATGAATTTCACTTAGCAAGTAATCTAAGGTTCCTAATTCCCTCAAGTCAGGGTTAGACACAATACTTACCTCGCTCCGAAGGCTACTTAATTCTCAACCACAACTTTTCCTTTGGAATTTACCCCCAAACCACTCGTATCTATTCAAAAATGACTCAATAACATCAAATATTGCTAAAGGAATCAATTATATTGCGCAAGTTAAATTTTCCTCCAACAAGTCAAAAAATTGACCCCGGGCCCGCTTGGTCAAAACCTGAGATTCGGACCAAAATTCTTTTATCCATTCACCCCCGAGCCCGTATATGTAATTAGTTTTGTAATCTGACCTCAAATTGAGGTCTAAATCCTCAAATTTCGAAATTCCTAAGTTCTACCCAAAAATCCTAATTTCACCATAAAAATTCTAGATTCTAGGTTGAAATCTTGTTATAAGATGTAAAAGATTGAAAGAAAAGAGTTAGGAATCACTTACCTATGATTTGGGGAAGATTTGGTCTTTGGAAAATTACCTCTTAAGGTTTAGGGTTTTGAAAATATGAAGAATGAATGAAAAATCCCGTCTAAGTCCATTTTACTCAGCTGCAGGTGTCACAATTGCGACTTGAGCTTCGCAAATGCGAAGGTCGCAAATGCGAAGGAACAATCGCAATTGCGATGCCCTTCACAATCCTGTTGCCTTCCCAAATGCGAGAAAATTGTCGCATTTGCAACCACTGAACCTCGCAAATACGAGTAGATGTTCGCATTTGTGAATTTGCCCTTCCCTGACCCCCTTCGCAATTGCGAAGGTAACCTCGCAAATGCGAGATTTGCTGGCCCAGGCTTTTGATCGCAATTGCGATGAAAGACTCGCAATTGCGGACCCTGTTATGTTCGCATTTGCGATGCCTGATCTCGCAATTGCGAGATCAGAGGCCTGCAACAGGTTCAGTTATACCAGCAAAAATTTTCTAAGTTCAAAACATCCTGTGGCCTATCCGAAACTCACCTGAGCCCTCAGGGCTCTAAACCAAACATGCACACAAGTCTAAAAAGATCATACGAACTTGCTCACGCGATCAAATCACCAAAATAACACCTAAAACTACGAATTTAGTACCAAATCAAATGAAATTCTCTAGAACACTTTAAAATTTATATCTTCTCAACTGGACGTCCGAATTACGTCAAATCAACTCCGTTTCTCACCAAATTTCACAGACAAGTCTTAAATATCATAATGAACCTGTACCGAGCTCCGGAATCAAAATACAGACCTGATACTAACAATGCCAAATATCAATCAATTCTTAAAAATAAATAATTTCCAGACTTTTAATTTTCATCAAAAATTCATAACTCCAGCTAGGGACCTCCGAATTCAATTTCGGGCATACGCCCAGGTCCCATAATTTGATACGGACCTACCGGAATCGTTAAAGTACGGATCCGGGCTCGTTTACCAAAAATATTGACCGAAGTCAACAAAAATCAACTTTTAAGGTAAAATTCTTATTTTTATTAGTTTTTAACATAAAAGCTTTCCGAAAACCTGTTCGGACAGCGCACACAAATCGGGGAGGGTAAAAATGAGATTTGTAAAGTTTAATAGCTCAGATTCAAGTTCTAAAATATAAGATGACCTTTTGGGTCATCACAAATGTCACTATTGTCCTAGTTATTCAGTTGTACTCATATTAAATTTTGGTAATTATCATTTGGAGGCTTCAATGGTCAGAAGTCATGAATAAAATGTTGAAAGAGCACGTATTGGTTCGCACAAGCATTCGTGTGGTGGTCGCACCTCCTAGGGTTGGGGTGTGACAGAATGGGACAAGACCAAACTCAAATTTCTGCCCTAGATATCAGACCAGTGTTGGCCTGATAAGAAAGGCGTCGGCCTAGCCCGACCTAGTTGTTAGTTTTTTTTTATTAACAATCTAACAATTGACAAAGGCAAAATCAGAGTTCAAGCAAGTATATTAATAGTCGTTTCTATCCAAATCATAAGTCAATAAGAAAAAAAATGTGTTAACGAGCAACAAGAAACAAATTGTTGTAGATGGATGAAACTGTTAGCAGCCTTGGAAATGGCAGTTACAACTAAGACACAGACGACTTAGTGAGAAATCTACGAGAGGAAGAGAGAGCACTCAGAGTACAAATTTTGTTTAAGTGATGTAAAATGAATCGTGTTCTCAAAATATCTGTACAATGAGTATTTATACTCTTCTTATACAATGATAACTAACTTGTAACTAGCTACACATTTAATTTAACTATGGTTACATCAGTTTGTTAAGTTTAACCATAATCAATACTCCCGCCCAAGTTGATGGTTGAATACATGTTTTTCAACCCTAGTCTATGTAGTAAGTGATCATATGTGTCTTTGCCAAACCTTTTGTAAGAATATCTGTCAGCTTTTCTTTAGTTGACATATGATCAGTCTTCACCATTCCTTGTAGTATTCTTTCCCTCATAAAGTAACAGTTTATATCAATTTTCTTTGTTCTCTCATAAATTATAGGGTTGGCTGCAATTTGAATTGCAACTTTGTTGTCACACCTTAACTGAGCTAGTAACTCTACATTGACTCTATGAATACTCCAACTTGCCAAGTAATTTCTATTATACATGTGCTTTTGAATTCAGATTCAGATGAACTTCTACACACAATTTCTTGCTTCTTTGACATCTAAAAATCTAAGGCAACTCCAAACTTCACTAAGTATCCTGTCACCGACATTCTAATTTGCAGAAAGGCTACCCAGTCTGAGTCATAATAGGCCAGTAGTTGATTGGAGTTCTGTGCAGGCATAAACAACTCTAGACCAGGTGCCTCTTTTATATACTTCACTACTCTAAGAGCATCTCTCCATATGGGAGATCTTTGTTATGTGCATATACTAACTTAGTACCTGAACTGCAAAATCCAAGTCAAGTGTACTCATAGTAAGGTATAGAATCCTTTGAACTAGTCTCTGATAGAATCCTGTGTCCTTGAGCACTTCATCTTTAGAATTACTTTGTACATGTTTGTCATACTCCTGAGAAGTTAGTTTCTTACTTAACTCTAAAGGAGTACCAATTGATTTTGATCCTCCTAGCTGTGACGCACCTATAAGTTCTAGCGTATACTCCATTTGGCATATCACAATGCCCTCCTTTGACCTTGCAAATTCAATGTCTAGGGAAAAATTCAATTCTCTCGAGTCTTTCATTTTAAACTTGGTCTGTAATTCATCTCTTCTCTGATATATCAAAATATGATTAGCAGGTCATCAACATAGACTAGAACCACTGTTAGATCACAATGAGTCTTCTAGGTTAATAAAGAGTAATCAAAATGACTTTGTTAAAACCCTATTTGTGACAGGGCTTCTGTCAGCTTCTTGTTCCATTGTGTGGATGATTGCTTAAGACCATATAAAGATTTATGTAGTTTGCAGACCTTCATACTCTCCTCGTGTCTAGCAAAACCTTGAGGAATATGCATATATACCTCCTCTAGAAGATTCCCATTTAGAAATTTATTATGAACATCCATTTGATAGATCACCCAACTCCTAAAAGTAACAAGGGCCACAATAGATCTAACTGTCACCATTGGCCACATGTAAAAAGACTTTTGTGTAGTCAAGTTCCTCCTATTGACTATATAACCCTTAGCAACCAACCTAGCCTTGTACCTCTCTATTTCCCTTGAGGCCTTATATTTGATTTTAAAATCCACTTACACCTAATAGGGGTCTTACCAGGAGGTAGATTCACTATGCTCCATGTATGATTTGCTTCCAAGGCATTAATTTCAAGCTATATTTCTTCTACCCACTTGGGATACACCACTACTTTTGTAAAGTTCCTAGGTTTAGTAGCAGCTGAGTAAGCTGACACTGTATCTCTATAAGGAGGTTTGACATTATCATAGGTGGCATATGAGGAAATTAGATAGTGTCACACATTTTTTTCTTAGAAGTGGTCACATAATCTTGCATCTAGAGATGGGGGTCTCCCCTGTCTACTTTATCATTGCATCTAGAGGTGGTTCAGGTAAATGTTCATCAAGGCCTAGATTTTCTACAGTTAGTGCCATAGTTGCAGAAGGTTGAGTCTCCAATTGACCTTCAATATCAGATAAATGAAGTGAAGGACCAGAGACCCTTGTAGTACCACTGGATGGTGTAACATTTAGATCAGTTAAGCGACACTCACCTAGTGATACTAAGTCAAGAACATGAAATATAGGATTGCATGCATCCTTCATGTTCTTGAAAGGAAATAAATATTCCTGAAACACCACATTCCTACGTACAAAGAAGGAATTTGTATGCAAAACATATAGCTTCTATCCCTTTTGAGAGGGAGAATATCCAATCAATACTACTTGAATGGTTCTGGAAGCAAACTTATGCTCTTTTGAACTAGCTGCATAACAGAGATATCCAAACACTCTAAGATGTGAAAGAGAAGGAGATTGCAAATGAAGCATCTCAAAAGGAGACTTGTCATGTAGAACTCTAATGGTAGGCTAGGAGCCAATGTTTTTAACTATAATTTGTACTCTAGTTACTACACTTTGATTGGATTTAACCCTAATTGTTAGTACTTTGTACTTATTACGTATGTTATACTGTGTAGGATGTGATTTCGAGTGGAGAAACAAGATTGAAGATAAAATGGATGATTTGAAGCTTTGAAGTCTGAGTAGAAGCCCAAGAAATTAAGTCGGGATCATGTTCAGGGGTCGAGGACCAAGTATGGAAGTCAAAAAGTGAGAAAAAAGATTACTCTAGAAAAAATGCACTATCGCGCCGTGCCATGCGCCGCGGGGCATGGGTTGCTAGTGCAAAATTCTTACAGAGTGAAAACAAAATCAACTCTATGAACTTTTTCACTAATGCGGTGCATGGTACGCCGCCCCGGGCACTGCGCCTATGTAATTTCCTTAGAGTAATTTTCCACTTCGGCTAGAAAAGGGTAGTTTTGTCGAGTCTTGTTCCTACATGGTATAAATACACCAACAACGTAATTTTTAGAGGGCTTTTGACCTTGGAAGCTTTTGGAGAGCATTGGAGGCTACACGACACGCGATTTTATCATATTTCCATCAATTCAATATGAGAGCTTGGATTGTAACGTTGGATTGATATTTTCTTACTCTTTAATTCTATTTGTGATTACCTCCTCCATGATTATGGAGTAGTTTCTATTAGGGGTTGACATGATTTTGTGACTCGATTATTATCTATGGATTTGATCATTATTTGATTGCTTGAGTTTATTAAAAGAGCTTTAACGCTAGTTGAGTTTATATTCATTACTGTGTTTAATCAGAAGAGCGGCATAATACTGAATATTATTGCAATAGATGCCTTAATTCATTATGGTACTTCTTTAAAGTAATTGAAAGAGTTTTGTGATCTTCCTTTTGAATTAAGATTGAGAAATATTCGAGAGAAGTTTCTCTTAGACCATTCTTATTAAGCCAAGTCAGGTCTAGTCATAGTAAGATATAGCAGTCTTCCTACTACTCTGTGATAGGATCGTGTGTCCTTGATCATTTCATCTTTAGAATTACTTTGTACATGTTTATCATACTCCTGAGAAGTTAGTTTCTGATTTAACATCTAAAGGAGTACCAATTGGTTTTTATCCTCTTAGCCTAGACTCAGCTATGAGTTTTAGAGTATACTTCCTTTTGGCACATTACAATGCCCTCCTTTGATCTATAAGATATAAGATAAAATGCGTTGTTGTCTAATAAATAATACTTATGATTTTAAATGATTCTGATATGAATCAAATCTTGCACCTATAAGATATAAGATAACAATATTAATAGCTGTAAATTACCACCAAATTCTCTCCTTTCAGTCACTTAGTATTGCTTCAATAGTCGATAGCAAAAACAACAACTACAATTTCAGTTCCAAACAAATGTATGCCTCGATCCCAAACGCCTCAGACGGTAGCAAATACATCAAATAAAAAGTTTGGTATATTTTTCTACTGGTCTAATCACTATACAAAAGTTCGCTGCAAAGTTTGATCGAGTAGGACCTCCAGTGTTCTCCTCAATTCAACTAAAGCATAATGGTGTCAGTTCACCCTCAAAGTACTTCAACGCTAATTATTCTTTTGAGCTTGGTGGGAACATTTGCTTTCAAATTATGTCTCATGTCCTTTCTATGTTAATAATCATAATATTAGCTTTACCAACAAAGGTTACAGTGGTATAATAAGTACTCATTCCTCATTAATTAGAGATTGGTTTGTTCGAGTGTTAGGTTGCAGAGTCGTCTTGTTATGGAACATTTTCTCTCTCAGTATGGAACTGTTCGGTGCGAATCTGAATTTAATCATGTACCAATATAAATACCGAACACCGACTGAAAAATAAAAAAAATCATATTATTAGTTTTATTTCTACTTTTATTTAATCATGTCGTTTGTTACTATTGTTTGACACATTACATTTTAGAGTGATACGACTAATAAGTAGAGCATGCAAGGTTTTGGGGGGTTCCATTTTCTCCCTTTCTTGTCATACCTACTTTGACTTTCCGTTAAGTTCTTTTCAAAATACGTGTAATTCTTTTGGCCCTCTATATATTGGCACAAGAAAGCCTTTAATTAAGAACGGGCTCCATAAATAATTAATGTTTGACCATCATCATTGTATATGTGATATGACTATATTTTTCACTTCTTTTTCCGGCTTAAGTTTGTATGAAAAGAATATTTACTCACTCCGATCCTTCTTAGTTGTCACTTCACCAAAAGATTGTTTTAAAATATTTGTTTGCTTGGAATATTAAAAAGACACATTAAAATTTTTAATTCTATCATACTTACTATAGTTATTAATCAATTACTCATTTAAGGAAGAGATAAAAAGGTCATTAATTACTCATATCAAATGAATTTTTTAATGGTTATGTCAAAATGTTAAACGAACGAGTTTGAAGGATTGTATGTTCATAACACGATATAAACATTCCTAGGTAGATGTATTTGTGTTTAAAATTTGTTTATAAATCAACAATTAGATCTAAGATGTACCTAATGAAGAAAATCTCGTTTAAAAAGTTCTTCAATAAACGCATCGAAATTATTCTTTGTTATCAACTCTTTGATCGATAAAATCCACGAACAAATTGAATGAAAATTATTTTTGCAAAAATTCTTCTCAAAAACCTAAACCCTGAAAGAACAAGAATCAAAATTTCTTGTCAAGAGTATTTCTCGACTCTACGACACTCTTACACCTTTTTTATATCTCTTCACCATTATATTGTTGTATACGGGTGAAACCGTTCTTGTGGTGCACCCAAGCCTTCGAAATGGTAAGCCAGGATCGAGACATGGCAATAAAGGACTGAAGATCGACCCCAAGTCCCACCGGGCTAGAACCCGGGGGCAGGACGCCTGCCTTCGAGAATATCGAGGCCATGACACCGGAATCGGTCCTAGGCTCAAATGACTTCGAAGAAACATTGTCAGCATAGCCAACATAAGACCGAAATATCTGTGACCGGCCGGATATTACAGCGGGAATCTCGGCACGTATCAATAAAGAACTGGTAATCAGTGAATTAAGAGATTTTTTACCTTTTGTATAATTGTATCTAAAGTAGGACTCCCCTACTATATAAAGGGGGTCTGATAATTCGTAAAACACAATGTAACACGCACTAAAAACCAATACATTATTACTTTCTCTATCTTTAAGCTCTTGTTCTTTTTGATCGACACTGGTTGTGGTGAGCCCGGCTCGAAATCGACTATTCTATCAAAGCTGAAACTATCCAAACGACTCAAATTTAGTTTATCTTTTTTTATTCAATAGCAACTTAATTTATCGCTTTGTGTCAAGTTAATCTGCGTATTCTTAAAACCACCTACAAATTTAATTGTTATCCGATTTTGAGGGTAAACAATTTCGCGCCTACTGTAGGGCTGAGGATAATAGCGGCAATTTGATAAAAATTCCCGTAACGCATCCTATTTTACACTTGTTCTTTGAAGTATTTTTGATTCCACGTTAAAATCGAAATGTCAAATCCATAGTCTGCCCCTTTAAAAACGGACACAGAGTCCAACCACCTTGGCGAGAACAACAACGCAACACCCGGTAATGAGGTGCCCTCAGTCGATCTCGGCGAAGTCCCGATGCGGGACCCCATCAACGCCAGTTCGCATGTGGCCATCAACACATATTTGCCTACTGATCCCAAAAATAGCGTACATAGAGATGTCTGATTAATTGCCCAGAATACGCACAATGGTGAAAACGATGGGATCAACTTGCGAGTGAACTTCGAAATGATACAGGCTCTACAGGCGGAATAGCTCAGTTGCAGAACCAAAGCAGATCACCGAGTAGGGTTGAGCCCGAGCCACCCCGGGAAGTCACCCACATAAATGAATCGATCACGGAAAGGACGAATTAAAATGAATCGAGGACTAACCCTGAGATTATAAAAATGCTCGAAGAGTTGATAAAACAGATAGAATCGGGGGAGAAGAAAATCGAAGCCAATGACAAAAAAGGTGGAAACCTATAACTCCAGGGTCGACCAGATCCCTGGAGCACCTCCGATATTGAAGGGCCTGGATTCCAAGAAGTTTGTTAAAAAACCTTTTTCTCCGAGCGCGGCTCCGAAGCCTATCCCGAAAAAGTTTCGCATGCCCGAAATTCCTAAGTACAACGGAACAACCGATCTGAATGAGCATGTAACTTCCTACACATGCGCCATCAAAGGAACTGACTTGAAGGATGACGAGATCGAGTATGTCCTGCTGAAAAAGTTTGGGAAAACTTTATCCAAGGGAGTTGTGATATCGTATCACAACCTACCTCCTAATTCTATTGACTCGTTTGCCATGCTTGCAGATTCATTCGTAAAAAGCGCACGCCGGGGCTATCAAGGTCGAGACCAGGAAGTCAGACCTTTTCAAAGTAAAGCGGAGGGATAATGAGATGTTTATGGAATTCGCGTCCCGGTTTCAAATGGAACGGATGGACTTACCTCCGGCCGCAAACGATTGGGCCGTTTAGGCCTTCACCCATGGACTCAATGTTCGATGCTCATTGGCATCACAACAGTTGAAACACAATCTAGTGGAATACCCGGTCGTCAATTGGGTCGAGGTGCATAATCAGTATCAATCAAAAATCAGGGTCGAAGATGATCAACTCGGAGCCTCATCCGGGTCTGTTTATCCCGTTATAACAATTGACAGAGTCAGGAGAGACATTGATCGTGAACCACGGTCGAACAGGGATTGGTATCAGCCATACAATGGAGACTGAAGAGGTAGTGGATCTGGATGAAACCCCGTAAAATGAAAGAATAAGTGACCGAGATCGAAATAACTAGGGACTCATGAGCAAAAATAGCTTCGACAGGCCCATCGGGCCGAAGGAAGCACCAAGATTGTCAGAGTACAACTTTAACGTCGTCGTCGCCGCCATCGTATCCACCATCAGACGTATCAGAGACACAAAATGTCCCCGGATTTTACAGTTCGATCTCGTCCAAAGAATCCTAACCTAATGTGCAAATATCATGGCACTCACTATCACAGGACAAAAGCTTGCCGACAATTGAGAGAGAAAGTAGCCCGGCTATTCAATAACGGGCATCTCCGAGAGTTCCTGAGTGATCAAGCTAAGAACCACTTTAGGAAAAGAGATTCTGGTAAACAGACCAAATAGGAGGAGTCTCAGCACGTCATCAACATGATCATCGGTGGGGTTGATGTTCCCCATGGGCCGCTGCTGAAGCGCACAAAAGTATCTATCACAAGGGAAAAATGAACTCGAGGTGCCGGAGGGAACCTTGTCCTTCAACGATGAAGACGCTGAAGAGATCGTGCATCCCCACAATGATGCACTGGTAATATCAGTACTTATAAATAAATCTCGAGTTAAGCGTGTATTAATTGATCTAGGTAGCTCAGCCAACATCATCAGATCGAGGGTCATGGAACAGCTCGGCCTGCAAGATCAGATTGTACCCGCGATCCGTGTCTTAAACGGGTTCAACATGGCGTGTGAGACCACTAAAGGAGATATAACACTACCGGTGAACACCGCCTAGACCGTTCAGGAAGTAAAGTTCTATGTGATCGAAGGGGACATGAGGTACAATGCTTTGTTCGGGAGACGTAGGATTCACAACATGAGGGCGGTCCCCTCGACTCTACACCAGGTATTGAAGTTCGCGGTTCCAGAAGGAATAAAAACATTTTACAGAGAACAA